TCTTCTTCCCTCGGCTGGACATTTAGAGCCATTATAGCATTTTCAACGACTCCTCTTCAGCTCCTCTCCACCCCCCCTCTGTGTTCATTCGCGTCGCGCGTACTCACCGCACTTATTTTTTTTGTTTTCAATCGAGGTACGCAAGATCCATTCCTATTCTATTCACTCTCGTATAACTACGCGGTAGAATACAATGCGAAGTATACACGCCTGTCGAACAATTCTCTTTTGTAAATTGAGCCAGAGACATGTTCTCCAGGGTTGAGTGTCATCGATCGTCTTCCTCTACGACGACCCGAGTTTGTTTATACTTCGACTCGGTGCGTTGTCGTTGTATCCCTCTTTCTTTTTCTTTGTTCAACTCCGCTCAGTCAGCCCGTGGATCCCATTGCGGCACGGGATTCAGGTGGCACGTGAAACGCGCCTTCCTTACCCTGTTGCACGTGTGCACGAGCATCGCAAATAATTGAAGTACCGCGCTGTAAATATGCGCAGCAAGATACACGGCCGTGAAATGTCATGAATGGAAGGAAATAAAAAATAAAAAATTGTATCAAACGAGCAATCGTTATTTAACGTTGGCGGCACAATTCAATCGTATGTTTTACAAGGAGTAATGGACTTTTACGATATACCTCAAGAGTCTCGTAAATCCAGCGAATTGCCGGGAAACGGGCGCGTGCCATTAATACCTTAGCTGTATTTCTTTTTTTTTTCCCCCTTTATTCGCCCCACCTACCTCTGACATCAGCCACTCGACGAATCGGCTGGTGCGCATTTCTAGGTTATGGTAAACGATATCGCGAGGGGAATATCTACGATCGACGCGTATGCACATTTAACCCGAGTATATTTCGATCTATTTGCATGGCGCACGATACTCGTGGATTTACGTGCGCGCGCAGCCTCGCGAATAGGAAATTATTCGTTTATATTTTACTACTGAGCGAGCCATGACCGGACTACACTAAATATGAGAATTCAGTGGATCTTCGAGAAGGTTGACGTCATCAACAGTGCCACGGTCTGACTCAGGAATTCTTGTGAGTTCTATGTATATTGGTATCCACGTCCATTGACAGCATCTGAATAATCTACGTTACCGACGTAAAGAATTGTCGCGCGGATGACCGTTCTGCGAAAAAATACATTAAGGTCGACGGCCAAGCGAATCCGGTCGTACCGGTTGCTCGTCAAAGATCCAACAGCCATTGTAGGAATCGTACGGGCTATGCGTTTACAGGCGCAGCCTACTTTTCCAATCGAATATTATTCTCAACCGACTGTACGCGGACGCCCTCGATACTTTACCCCTCCATGAGTTCACGCAGTAGCCCAGACCCAAGTAAGAAACGGGGCGGTGAGGAGGGCTAGAGGGAGATAAAAAAAGTGTTTGTCTCCCAACCTCGCAGGGTCCCTTCTTTACCCTCGAGACTCGTAAATCCTGGAAAAATGTTACTTCGCCTTCACGACAGATTGCTCCGACCCTCCGATCTGGTCTCGATTCAAGAGGTGCATAATCCTATGGAGCTTTTTTTTTTTCTTTCCTTCTCACAGCATCCCCCACTTGCGTCGGTACTTGTCGCAGCTTCCTCGCTTCCGCACTTTTACTATCAGATGTTTCAGCCTCTTGACACGCGGATTCACGTATGCCGACGCGTCTACGTCATACAGCGTGAGATACGAAGAGCACGGGGCGATAGGGAGAAAGTAAATATTAAACGATTATGAGATTACAGACTCGTTAAAAGGCGCGCAAATCGGGCACCATATGTGTGCGTATATATATATATATATATATAGTGCATCCGGTATCGTTTAATAACCGGTCATCCTGTGTCTGCTCTGTTTAAGTATGCATCCTCGACGGGTACTCCTATCTGTGCGTGTACTTATATTGTATATATATATATATTCATATGTGCACAGTACATGAGTTCTCTTCTGCCGTTTATCTCTGGGACCACGGTCGATATTTCACTTTTGAGTGTTACCGGCTATTTCCACGGCGCTTGCCACCCTCTATCTCTTTGTCCCATTCGCGCTGGCTTTGGCCAGACACCCTTGTTGCACCCCTGCTGCCTGCTGTCCGTTGTTATGCATTATACGAGACGCGTAGCGTGACTTTAATTTAAAAAAAAAGAACTTATAAAGAGACGAGAGGTGGATAAAAAAATTAATTCAAATAATTAACCAACACCCCCTACCCTGATTACGTCACTGTGACTTTTTAATAACGGACACAATGTCATTAAGTCGGTACAGCAGGGATTGACCGAAGAATTTCGCAGCTTCACTCTTACGCGGTAAAACGGAGTGACGTGCATATTTGGCTGTTCCTTGGTTAATCTTCTTCCTCCTCTTCTTCTCGTCTTCAGTTTCCTTCGGATAGACCGATGCCCTGTCACGGATAAAGCCTGGAGTCTTAGTCAGGCTCTAACGTAAAAAAGTAAGTCATTTGATAGAAGTTTGGATAGAGGCTGAAAAAAAGGCACGAAGACGTATCACCGAATTTCGACGTTCTTCACGTGCGATATTTTTATCTTTTATCAGTTTGACGGGTTTTTAAAAAAAATTTTTTCACTCGTCTTTCATTACGTCGACCGTACCGACTCCCGTCTATGCAGGAACGACGAAAATCTTGCGTATACGCTTACTACTATCGCACGCGAGTTCTTCGCTAGTGACCCGAGCAGAAGCTAAAAAAATCTTGACGATACACAGCGTGTAAAGTAGATTAGGATAAAGCGTTTCTGTTCCCAGAGTACGGCATTAGGAATTTCGTCAAAGTCATATATATATAGCAAGCCTATAGGACTTTTAAATACTTTAACACGTGTACACAAACTTAGACTCGTATATCCTCGTGTGACGTTAACCTCCTATCGTTTATTTCTTTACGATACCCCAGTTGGTCCATAGGATTTTTCTGTTCGAGATAATTCATCGTTTCTGGGATATCAACCCCTGCCGATATGGGCATCCCCGTAGCCTAAGGACAAGTTTACGCTCGATAAATTAATCACATCCCTTGTTCGAAAACCATCCGTCCCCCCTGCTCCAATTCGCCTGAAGGAACCAGCCGTATTACTCTGCCGGGGCTGTTCCCATTGATCCATCCTGAATGAAAGGACACACGGTATACGTAAGAAAGTGCGTGCAAACTCGTGGAGGATAACAGGGCGCTCCTTGATAGGTATACGGGAGACGTAAGCGACGAAGTAGGGTCGTTTCGGGAATATCGACTGGCGCTCAGTCACGTAGCTGCTCTCACCGTTCAATTGTCAGGTTTGCGTGGCAGCGTGGTATGCGAGCTATGGGAAATTGTCTTAAAGAGGAAAGCACGTAACGTGCTGTACGTATTAGCACATCGTACTGGGTGTGTGAGAGAGTGAGAGAGTGAGAAAATTGGGGCAGGATAAGAAAGCAAGGTCAAAGGAGTAAAATGTTATTAGGACAGCTCCCGATGAAAATAGCTACGAATCAGACTGTACGAGTGTGATCAGCGTCGTTAACGGTCGGAGCGATAAGTCACGTACGCCAGCCGTCCTTCCATGCGGCGTCTGCTCGAGCATTTCGATTCTGATTTTTATCTGGAAGTTTCGGTCGGGCCAGGAGCGCTCTTACATATATATGTATGTACGCTATATACATATATGTAGCGCTACATACATATATGTATGTACGAACCGTGGTTGCATTACGCATAGGGTTTACCGATAGTTTCGTAGTTTTATAAATTCACT